TTTATCCCATTCAAATGTGAGTTTATCGATTACCAGAGTGTTCTAAATTATCGTAAAATTGTCCTGACCCTTTCGTTTCTCATATCAGAGCCTTCGATAATTGTATATTGATCGAAATATGAGAGCTCGACGCCATTTTGGTTCTTGTCTGGGCTAAGTTAAACAATTTTTCCAAAAATCCAAATTTTGAACGTGTCAGGACAATTCTTACATGATCAGGGGTGACGTGTCAATGTTTGGGACAGTTTGGTTTAATACCCTTAAAAAAAAGTGTTGTATTCGAATTGACTGATTTGAAGGGGGTTTCACTTCACCTTAATGCTCGGCCCGGTACCGGGATAAATACACTGGCTGTCGGTGTCTCTTCCGGGATGCTTCTCCCGAGGTGGAGAAAGGGGCGTGAGCGGAGGCTTGGTTGAAAATATCAGGGGGTTATCGTTTTGGAGAGGTGATGGTTTTAGGAACCGTTCCTTTCTTAGGGTAGATAAAAACGAATCGTAATCGGCGAGGGAAACGGTTGCGTGAACCGCTGCGCGATGACCTGCGTGGTTTTGCTGCTACGCTGTTAAAAAGATTCAACGGTTGATACACTTTTAGTACCCAAGGTTGTAACACAGTTATAAATTTGATGTCTACGAAAGTGAATTAGTATACACTCGTTGCAAACCTCTAAATAAATTTACAATTTTATAACATTATGATATAATTCTGCGAAATTGTGTGGGGAAGATAGTAAATTTTATATCTCATAGTACACCCTATTTATAATTCTCGAGATGACTTTTTAATTTCATGATAATACTTTATAATTTTGTAAATATGTGCCCATAATTATGAAAGTGGTCTAAGTCATATATTTTTTGTTTCGAAATTACATTGAATTAATTTCGTTTGAAATAATATGGCGTGAAATAACTGATAAACTCATTTTTTTTTAAATTTTGACTTAGACCACTTTCATAATTATGGGCACATATATCTTCTAAAATTATTATAAAATTATAATACGCGTATTGTAAAATTATGACTTCCTTTTAATAATTTCATTACATACGTGTGTATTAAATTTTTAACACATATCTTTTAACTGAAGCTATGTTACAAAATTAATATACCATGTCTGAATAAAAATCGGATAAGTCGGGCTCTTCGTTCCGAATGGAATCGAACTTCCGAGTACATAGGCTGATGGATACAATAACTGGGGACGTTTCCTCGGGGAAGCTACGCGAACCGGTAAAATATCGGGAAGAATCGACGGAGAGAATTTATCGGCATCCTCGGAATCTTCGACTCCCTCTTCGGATCGGTTGAGGGAAGTAGGAGTACCGCCTTGATCTCTTCCCCCGTTTATCCGTTGCTTTGTCCTGGACCGTGTGGCGTAAAGCCCCTGGCTTCTCGACTCCGGAATTCTCAGGGAACACGTGCTTAGTGGAATCGTAAAAGGAAGCACGCCTAGGCGAGCATCTTTCGAAAGATCTACTTTTTTTGCTTCAGTCCCAATTCTCGGTCTCCGTGATAAATTGGAAGGATACCTAAAGATGAACCAAGGGAGCGATAATCGAACGCCCATGGAGAGAGAATCAGGCGCAATTTCGTCAATGAAAGGACGATTTAAGGGTGCAACTGGTTTCCACCCCGTGCAAAACGTTGGATCGTTAATTTACCATTAGAACATTTTTAAAATACTCAATTTATAAGTTTCAACTTCACCTACCCTCCTAAACGTTTATCGTTAACTCGATTCGGGTACGAAATAATATAAGTACGTATCTATTGGAAAGTATGAGAATGAAGAGGGATGTTTCATTGTTTTTTTATTTGCTTTCAAAGGACCGTACAGGTGTAATTAAACGGTGACGGAATTGATGTTATCAAATCAGACTACATAGGACATATATCGATATATTCGGGTACGAAATAATATAAGTACGTATCTATTGGAAAGTATGAGAACGAAGAGGGATGTTTCATTGTTTTTTTTTTTTTATTTGCTTTCAAAGGACCCTACAGGTGTAATTAAACGGTGACGGAATTGATGTTATAAAATCAGACTATATAGGACATATACCGACATATTCGGATACGAAATAATATAAGTACGTATCTAGTGGAAAGTATGAGAATGAAGAGGGATGTTTCATTGTTTTTTTTTATTTGCTTTCAAAGGACCCTACAGGTGTAATTAAACGGTGACGGAATTGATGTTATCAAATCAGACTATATAGGACATATACCGACATATTCGGATACGAAATAATATAAGTACGTATCTAGTGGAAAGTATGAGAATGAAGAGGGATGTTTCATTGTTTTTTTTTTTATTTGCTTTCAAAGGACCCTACAGGTGTAATTAAACGGTGACGGAATTGATGTTATCAAATCAGACTATATAGGACATATATCCAAGGATAGGACGCGGGGGGAAATAGTACCGGGATCGTAGCGTATCTAATTGTCGAAGCACGACTTGATGAATTCGTATTTCCCGCGGTTTGTGCCGTCCGGAAAATCCACGCTGACAACTCGGAAGACGAGATAAAAATCTGAACAAAGATCTCGATAATCGTGATTAATCTCATTGTATTCAACCTCAGGGAAAAAACGTACACCCGTTCAGGGATATATATATATATCCTGATAAATTACAATTCGTTGTTACAACTTTAAACTCTGCCCCCTTTTTTCTTTTTTCATATCTATTAAAACCGCACATTTTATTCGTATCGTTCGCAATTTTACGACACTGCGGCACAGGATTCAATAATTCCATGACAGTTACGTTGCCTCTTGTCATTCGGCCTGCGTGGGAATGGAGGATCGCAGCTTCGAAAATTTACAACCAATAATGACGCAACCCACGTGCGTATCCTGTACACTTGCCGTAGTACAGCTGTACGTACAGTCGCGTACAGAGCGAACCCCGGGTCGGTTTTTCGTCCGATGGCACCGTGGCCAGTTAGAAATCGGAACAAAATGTTTTTCCCGGGAAGTCAGCCGTAGCGAAAGGTCGAGCCCAGGCGCGTTCGTAAAAGCGCGCCGGGTAAAACGGGGTACCGTGTAACCGCGAGGACGCGTCACCGACTCGTCGACACGGGTTTCGGATTTAATCGGTGAAATTCCCCCGGGATCCCCTGGATCTTCCGTTATGCTTGAAATAAGCGGCGGTTACACCTGTTGCTTGGTGGACCGCGCGTCACCTCGCGAGGCAGGACGGCCGCGGGTTGACCGGGGTGCGCCAGCTTACGCAACGACTCCTCTTTTATTTCCGTTAATTCCCTCGTTTCCCTTTGAAGGTGGCCGCAAAAGGCGTTTCCGACTAAAGACGCATCGGACGGGAATAAGAGCGCAGGAGGAGGCGGCTTTCCTATGTACGTAGGTACGGATAATACGCGGTACGAGAGTGCGGGTGCACTCGCGTGGTCGAGAGGCTGCGTATGTGTGGAACCGTGGGAGGGCGTACATGAGTACAGGACTAGACATTAATGACTGGATACTCCTAATTCATTAACTTAACGTCCTTAACGAGTTATCGCCGAGAGTCCGATCCCGTGTGAGACAGAGGGTAGCTAAACTTATGCGGAATTACTTGGACATTGATTACCGTATATCCGTGATTCATTAACACGTTGTCCTTAAGGTAAATTATCGAGAGGCTGGTCGCTTCTTCGCTTTCTGGGGATGGATGCAGGTTTACAAATACGGCTCCGTAATAACAGGATATTTCGAGATGGAGAGCTTGATCTCGTAGAAGAGAGACGTTTTCGGGGGAATTTTTAGAATTAAGGTGATGTCGCAGCGGTTTATACAGTTTGGTTGCGCGGTTACCTACGAAGACTGAGCGAATGCTAACCTTACACTCTGAGTCGCCTCGAGGTCATCTAGCACGTAAGGTCTAGTTTTTAAGTCAAGGTTTAAACGTTCCGAGACTGAGCGCCTATTTACCGTCACTCCTTACGGGTTGAAAATCGAAACCTTAAGGTGAAGTGAAACACGTCGAGGAACTTGATCGACGTCGATAAAGAAGATTTTTCTAAACGCCTACGTTGCCGACGTTCGTTTTTATATTGACAGCTGGGTCGAATTATATTGGGTATGGTACCAAATGGAATACTCCGCCTGTCCTTTTCGTACAATAATTGTAAAGAAATCAAAGTAAAACTCCAGAAATCCTCTGGATTCGTGTTTTCTGGGGTCCTAATTAACCTGCAAAGGGACCCCCTGCGCCATCTGTGATTTCCAGGTCAATTAAATTTTCACTCCGAGACCTCGTATTCCCATCGTTTTAGCATAGAAGCGCATACAACACTTTTTTTTGCCTTTATCCCGTTGAAATGCGAGTTTATCGATTACCAGAGTGTTCTAAATTGTTGTAAAATTGTCCTGACCCTTTAGTTTCTCATATTAGAGCCTTTGATAATTGTATATTGATCGAAATATGAGAGCTCGATGCCATTTTGGTTCTTGTCTGGGCTGAGTTAAAAAATTTGGTTGAAAAATCCAAATTTTCAATGTGTCAGGACAATTCTTAGATGTGATCAGGAGTGATGTGTCAAAGTTTCGGACAGTTTGGTCTTTTACCCTTAAGAAAAAGTGTTGTATTCGAATTGACTGATTTGAACGAGTCCAGTCACTAGACTCGTTGATCTGAAATACATGAATTGGTTCTGCTCATAGATAAGAGTACGTTCAAGGAACTCTTGCCATTCCACTTCTATTTCACATCTCCATTCCTGAAGTGACCTTAATCAAATCATGGACTAATCAACGAGAGATGTCCGGGAAGTGAAATCTTTCGGTTTCGAAAACGCGTAATACCTTAACGAATTTATTTGTCAAGATCCTCAGTGTAAGGATGATTTGCAATTGGTTGTTACCACCTATTGCGACAGTTTGACCAATTTTAGCTGAAATTTTAACACGGCACCTACGTAACTCACGAAGTGGGGCGGACGGAAAACCGTCCGGATCATTATAATCTAATCGATGTTTCACAATACCTTAATCCCCGTTGACTTTTGAGAAGTTTCGAGCCTCCGTGTCCTCTTTTCGATAAGGCATTATCGCTCGGAGCCAGGGGGATCCGCTGGGAAATTGGGGACGCTCCTTCGAAGAGGGTCGGCCCTTCCGGAGCCCGAACTCTGACTCCCACGTTCCTGCAATAATTTCTTCCGCATTTACATTCGAGGGACTTACAATGTCCCCAAATTGATTGTCAATAGCGACGCAAAAATAAGCCCGGTAAAAACGCACGCATAATAAATTTAGTAAAATTACAAAGTCTCATCTCGTCTCAAAGTGGGCGAATAAAATGTTCCCGTTCTCACGTTACCATTGTCCTAGTAATCTGCAAAGTAAAAGGAAACGAGTAGAGTAAAATTTGAGGATTCAAAATGAAATCAGTGGCATGCGTCAATCTATTCCATGAATCTACGATTTACCAATCGACCCGATCGCGAAAGATAATCGATAGCGCCGTTCGAGAGACTCTCTCCCCGTCGAAAGGGGAAATAACTCCTCGACGGCGGACAAAATACGGGCGACATTGAATGGGCAAAGCTAAATATATAGATTCCTAGAATAATTAAAGCGAGCCACCTGGAGGAAAATGCATGACCAACATTGGTAACCCTGTCGCCCCTGCGCTATTCGCGCGGGTGACAAGCATACTTGTTTACCAGTCGAGGCGGTGCGCGCGCACGGTCGCGGGCAAATAGAACGTAGAAGCGCTGCGGCGCTAAAGCTAGAACGAATGGCAGTCTCGCTACGGCGAAGCCAAGGACACCGTAGAGACGCGCCGGAGGAGTCAAATCATCGCGACTCCCCTTTACCCCCGACCCACATCGTCTCCCCCGAGGGATCCACCCGAGAGCAGCCGAGAGAGACTCCGCGGCGATCGCTCGCCTTCCCGTTGCCGCGTGGGCCGCGTCACCGCGGCGTCGCCATCCTCGCCCCGAGCGAGCCTCCCCGTCCGGCCGTAGGAGCGCGGCCTACTTTACCGACCGCGCCGCGACGGAGTTCCCTCGTTTCCCCTCGTTCCTTTCGCCCGAGAAAAAATGCCCGGCAGGGGACCGGGCTCCCTGTCCCTTCGACGCCTCCTCTTTGATCCCTCGCATTGACTCGGCAACAAATGCCGCGTCAGTGTTTAAATTTACCCCGAGGTGAATTAATTTTATCCCGCGGACCGGGGGCAGCGCGAATCGAAACTCGCGGGGCAGAGAGTCGGGAGTACGATGGTCCGGTTAAAATGAATCGGTCCTCGGTTCCTTCGCCGCTGCTCGTAGGAATCGGTGATGGATATCGTTACCGTGCGTCGAACGTCGAACGGGAGAGCGTGGTCGACTCTAAGGGGGAGAGATTTACGGATACGCTATCACTGTATTTTATCACGAATTCCTGGGATGAATTTTCTCCCATAGACGTCCGCCCACGCGGCGCTCGCGATCGTCGCCGGGGATTCCGGGAGGCGCGCGTTCTCGCCTCGGCCTCTCGGAGCCCGGGCCGTCGGGGGCAGCGCCGCTTGCGGCTCGCGAACGCGGCACTGGCCTCGCTGGTGCCACCGAGTACCGTCTGCCACCGTTTGTTTCGCTAAGTCGCGCGAGCAGCGGCAAGAGAGTGCCGCGAAATCCCGCGCATGCGCGCCCCGCGAGTGCGAAAGCGCCCCGCGTATGCGCGACGCCGGCGATCTCCGGCGATTTCCACCGCGCCTCGATCGTTCCTCTCCGTCGTCCGCGTTCCAGGGAAAACCGGTCGGAAAATTACCTGCGAAAAATACGAGCGAGGGAGAAAGAGAGGGGGGTCGGAGGAACGACGCCATATTAATTACCCGCGCCCCGCTGAATCTTTAAATCATCGTAACCTTTGATCTCGAAGCCGCGAGAGCACCTGGAGAATTCAGGAAGGGGCAGCGATTCGCCGCAGCCGAGAGTCCAGATGGTCGATAACACCCCGTTCTTTCCTTTTTATCCGGGAATTAACGTTCGATGCCAATCCCTCCTTAAACGAAGGAAGGGAACGAGGTAAATCATCCGTTGTTGGGTCGACGTTTAACTTCGAACGCATCAGCGAAGAGGACGCGCCAGACGCGGTAGAGGGGCGTCGCGGCCGGCGTCCTCGCCGCGTCTCCGTAAGGATTACGGATTACGCAGTACCGAGGAGCGTCGCGCGCGCACGTGTGCGCTCACGCACGTGGGCGAGAGCCTACCGCGTGCGCGCGCGCGCGCACCCCGTTCGCCTCGACGGGACCGACCGACCGTTGGGCGACTCCCTTCCTTTCGTTTTCGGTGAATCGCGCCGAGGCGATCGCGCGAGGTCCCGCGATTCGCGGACGACGCGCCGTCGATGGCGGCGGCCGGCAGGCGCTCCCTGGGAGCGCCGCGAAACGACGCCCGACGTGCTCGGAGCGCGCGAGCGCCGTTACCACTCGGGCAGCGTTGCCAACTTCCGACGTCGCGAGCCGTCGGCGCTGCCGCGAAGGAACCGCGAGTTGGCAACGGGGGACGCGCCGGGCCGCGGCGGAGCCACCCTCGAGCCGGCCCCGGCCGAGAGAGCACGTGGCCGCGGAGGCTCGCGGGATGGGCGGGGGAGGAAGGGAGTCGGCCTTATCACGGCAGGGTGGTTGGAAGAAAGAGGTTGGGTCGCGGCGGCATTCTAGAGAGCCGCCGGTTCCGCGGCACGCACGCGAGGGAGAGGGAGGGCGAGCGAGCGAGCGACGCGGCGGCGGCAGCGGCGGCGGGGACGGGCGCGCGGGTGGCCGTCGAGGCGGAGGGGTTACGCGGCGGATAGGAGGGTAGGTGGGTAGATCGGGAGGGAGGGGGAGAGCGGGAGCGACGCGCGCGCGCGCTTGGTCGGTCGGTCGGCCGCTCGCTCGCGGTGGTAGGATCGCGGGAGGTTGCGAACGCGGTGGTTCGGTTGAACGAGGGCGCGCGAACGGACGGGTGTCGCGAGCGCGGCGAAGCGGTGAAGGGGCCGTGAACGGAAGAGATCGGCCGCTCGCTCGCCGGGCGTAGGCGAGGTTCCGTAACGACCGTGCGGTGGCGCACCAGGAATTCTCGGCTCCCGGGGGCCCGGGCCGTCTCTCCCGACTGTCTGCCTCGACTTGCTGACATGGCGTCCTAGCGCTGCACGGCCGAGTCGCACGTCCCCGCGGAGGCTCACCCCGAGAGGATAGGGCGCACCCCGAGGATGACAAGGTAAGTCGACCGTGCCGGAGGGAGCGGTTACCGTCGCGGGGAAATAACCATCCGGAGTCGAGACGACGTCGTCAACCGGGAATTAACCGGGTGGGTCCCGAGTCGGGCGGCGAGGCGAGAGAGAGAGAGACGGAGAGAGAGAGAGAGAAGGAGAGAGCGAGTCGACGAGGGAGAGAGAGGGACGGGTCGACGTGAAAATATACGTCGCTCGCCCGCCGCCACTGCTGGCCCGCCGTGGCCAACCCGACCGACCGTCCAGGGTCGTTGCCATTTATCGAAGCTACCCTGCGCGATATGCGAATCGATATTCGCTCCGAGACGGAGCGACCGGGCGGAAACCGCGAGTGTAGCGACTCGGGAGAAACCCCGGAAAATCCGTGACCCCGCGCTCGCGGATCCTTCGCCCGCTTCGGGTCCTCGCGCGAGTGCCGAGGAAACGGGCGAGCGCTTTTCGACCGATCGATCGCCGATCGCGCACGCCGTGGACGGCGACTCGTGCGTACGCTCGGACTCGCGGAAGTGTGCCACTTTCGAGAAAGAGAGCCCGAGGACGAGCGAGAGCTGGAACGCGGGCACGCACGGGACACGCGGCCGCGTGTCGCCAGTCGCACCTGACCCGTGAGGGTTAAACGGATCAGGTCGACTTCACCGACTCTATAAAGGGAGGCTACGTCGTCGCGATCGCCGTTATCCTCGTGACCGGTCGAGTTCTTAGAAAAACGTTGGGCGTTTCTGCCTGGATTTTTCCTCGCCGAGAAAGGGTTGCGTAAATGCGTTCCTCTCGCTCCCTCCAGGCCTCCCTTCTTCCGTCCCACCAACACCACCAGCACCACCACCACCACCACCACCACCACCGCCGCCGCCGCCGCCGCACCTCCCGCTCCCTCTCACTGCTCCTGCCGCCCCCACCCCTGGCGCTCTACCCTTCCTCTTACCCTGCTCCACCCTGCTTACCCCCTACCCTCCCGCCGCGCTTGGATGTGTCGCCGCGCGCGTGTAGCGACGCGTAGCGACTCGAGTCGGTGAACGTGGCGCTGTCCATGGGCGCCGCTGCCGCCGATAAACCCCGGAGCCCCCACCCTCCCTCCCCGCCCCTGTCCGTCGTCCTCGTCACGCTCCGACCCGCCACCGACATCGTCCGCTTCCTGTCCTTGACGTCACCCCGCGACCCTCGCACCCCGACCGGACGTGGGAATCCTGGAGGCGACCCGGATCGCTCCCCGTCGTCCACCGTGGCGGCCAGTAGCGCGGGGAACGTCGGACGGCACGGAGGGGACGCGGCCGCCGAGGGTTTCCCTCCAAGATTCCGTCGCACGTGTCAGTCGCCTCGCGTCTTCGTGACCACGTGGTTCGTGCTCCCGAAAAACTCTCCCCGAGGACCTCTCTTCCGCGTTGTGGCTCCACTCGGCGGCATAGTGGTGGGTTGTGATTTCGTTATTTTGCTCCCATTCGTTTGTTGTTCTCTTCGCTTGCCGAGTATCGCCCTAACCTCGCGGGATTTCCTTCTACCTTGATGTGTCTCGGAGGTGTCCGGTAGTTCCGTTTGCGCGCCGTGAGTCGGTCGGGGTTGCGTGCGCCTTGGAGTGGTGTACGTCGTCGAGTGGGCACGTAGCACCGTTAACTCGGCGACCGGATGGCCACGGATGTGAACCCGTAATCGTAAATGTTGCATGCAAGAGGCGCCCCTTCGGAGGAGAACCTACCTCGTCTCGGGGAAGATGTAGAATCCCGGGCTGCCGCGGCGAATACGCGGGGTGGACAGGCTATGTCGAGGGGTTTTTTTTCTTTTTTTTTCTTTTTTTTTCCTTCGCGTTTTAACCAGTCCATGGGTTCCGAGTCGCCGCTCGCGATCTCGAGATAGCGTGAAATTCCGGTGAGCCGAACGTGTCGAGGCTTCCTTTTTAACGGAAATTCGTGTCGCCGTTATGCCAAGCGAGGGGTAAAAAATGTGCGGGTGTCCCGTGGCATGACGATCGAGCTAGGCGCTAGGATTAATTCTGGTGACGCCATCGTAATTCGGCGAGTGTTAGGTTAGGTTGCCTGGCGTGCTCGGATAGGTGGGTCGTTGCTGAGAATTTTATACCCGCGGCAGGACGGTTCCGTGACGTCGGAACTGGTTTTCGAGAAATTTCATGGCTATCGTAGCTTGTCGGAAGGTTAAAAAAATGAGCATCGCCATGGCGACGTAATGACGACTCGCGTAACGGTGACGCAATGCGCGGAGAAGGAACGCGTTTCCTGTTGACGAGGTGTCCGGCTATGCGAATTATTTCTCGAAGCCGTTGTCCACGTGGAGCGAAATAATAGTTCTACTTTTATCCTTTACGTCTGGAAGCCCCTCGGACGGTTGAATGAATGTTTCTTCCTCTCGAACAATGGGCGCGAGTATTCGCGAGATACTCGCAAAGAGAGAAATTCGATTGGCCCGACGGCGCTACGACGCGGCACGAACGAAGACGTTATTTTACTCGATGCAACTAACCGATATAATTTTGCTTCTCCCGTCCCTTTTTGGCCAAATTTCTCTGCACCGCGGAACAATTGCATCCATCGACTTGCTCGCAGTAATTCCCAACAGTTATATTCATTGATTAAATATCTATTTTGTCGAGGTCAAAAACTCAGATCCGAGTCGTGGCAGGCCCTCGTAAAAAGTCCGGCCCATCCTTCGGTCGAAAAGGTGCCCCTTGGTAACAAGCGGGCCGCCAAACGTGGCCGGGGATTTTCCTTGGGAATTTCTCGTCCCGGCCCTACGAACCCTGATAACGGTATCGGAGCTCCGCACAGTTTTCGCCTAGCCGATGTCTTCCCATCTGGCCTGGCGTTTAATCGTATCGAGGAGGCTGAAAAATAGTCGCCACCGTGACGATAGCGAGGCTGCGGAGCAGCGAGCGCGGAACGGGCGCGTCCCCCTTTAACCAGGGTACCGTGTTGCGTTACGTCAGTGAACGCCGGGGAGCGTACGTGTGCGGACGTGTGCTACCCGCCCGTATACACACGTGCGCGCGCACACCCGCGGATGCTCGTGTCCACATATGACCCTATGACTTCTAACTCTCCCCCTCCCTCTCGCTCGCTCTAGCCTACACACCCTCTCTCCGTCTCCCTCCCCTCGTCGCGTGATACGCGGAGAAACGCGACACCCGCGCCCGTGTGCGCGCGCACGCGCCTGCGCGTCTGCTTGGCGACGATGCGCGCCGCTCGGCCCGCGGGGAGGGGGAGGATACTACAGGTACGTGCCTAGCGGGGGCGCGCTCCTTAATGGCCGAGAGGGTGCATCGGCGCGCACAGGTGAGTCGGCCCGGGGGACGGGCGAGGGGTCGCGTCCGTCGTCGAGACGGGAGAGGGGTGCTCGACCGGGGAGACGGCCGGGAGACGGAATCCGAGGGGCGACACGGGAAACACCCTCTCGGGACCGTGGGACACCCTGGCTGCACCGAGTTTAGCTTTACCCAGAGGCCTCCCTCTCCCTCGTGAGCGGCTCTTCGCGTGGAAACTGCAAGGTCCCCGGACACGTTTCCTAGAGTTATCGCCGATGGAGGAAAGAAAGGGGGGGGGGGGGGGGACTGACGATTCGTCCGGTGGGTAGCGAGGAATTCGATGCCGCTTTCTGGTTATATCGATATTTAACCTGTTAGCTGTGGCGCCCCCTTTTGCGAGCGCGCACCTATATGTGTCCCCGAAATCGAGCGATGACGAGTATACTCGTCAATCACAGAGTAAGTGTCGCTGTTAAGATACTGGATCAGAAAGATGGGTTTATTTTCTAAAATTGACAATTTTATTACTAATGTATATTTATTTGGTTAACTTAAACATATATTACGTACTTATTGGACGAAAAACGCAAGAGATATTAAATGCATATGGTAGCAAGAATTTAAATTCCTGCCGTGGCGTGGTATTCGGCAAGACAGGGTGTTACACTTAATGGGACTTTGCAAATGGAACACCAGTAACGGGATTCTTTCCTGATCTTGCGCTTATAACAACGTGCACTCCTTCGGGTAGGATTTTTTGTGTTCGAAGTTCTGGGTATATGATCCAGAACGTGATTCCCGAGTAATTGTGTTACATTAGGCCTAGATGGCCGAGTTTGTGTCGATTTTTCCCGGGTTATTGGATACGATGCAATAGGGTCCTCAACAAATTCTAGCAAAAAATTCATTCGCGATAACGTTCCATTATTTTTTTTTTTTGTATAATATATATGAACTCAAACAAATAATATCTAATAGGTGGCAAGCTATTTCAGCCGGTGCATACGGGGCGCATGAGTTTATCTCAAATTATTTATATTTTCTATTCGTTTGTTTTATTCCGGCCTGGCGTCAAAATATTCTAAACATCTTGAAATTTGAGAATATGTTTTGTTTTTCTCAAAAATTAAAATTTAAATAGCCAATGGTCACTAGTGTATACGCATGACGAGTATACTCGTCAATACACAAAATCGTGCCACTTCTCCATGACGAGTATACTTGTCAATCACAGATAACTGGTTAAATTATATGTCATGGAATTGTAACGTTGGTCCTGGGACCGAGAAATGGAAGGTCCGATGTGCTTTACATTGACGAGGTCGTGGTCGCGTTTTTTTTTTCTTTTTTTCCCAATATTGTCGGAATGAACTCTTCGAACGTTTTGAAATATCGACCAAGTAAAATGGGGGATCGTCGCATGCGAAGTGTGGCGTCATGGTGGGAAATCACGGTTCACCGATGGCTCTTTGTTACGAGGTTGAATTGAAATTGGATTCTCGAGGTAGGAGGGGTGGGGGAGACGGTTAAATCGAATTTGGAACTCGTTAGGAAACTTACCGAGGCCGCGTCGTTTGTGCCTAGTTGTCATGGTTACGTTTTCGGATCTCGTTTCTCGGTGGATCGATGAATGGGAGACGGCTAGTGAATGAAAATCATAATTCCAGTTCTGGGCTGGTCGGTCGTTCCGAAGCGGTCTCTTTATAGGACTGGCCGCGGTGCCGCCGAGCGTTTTCCATT